CACAAAGGTTATATCCTCGAAGTAGACTTGGAGTATCCCAAAGCATTACACGAATCACACAACAGCTATCCGCTAGCTCCCGAACGTATGAGGGTTAACCCAGACTGGATGTCTGAATACCAACATAACTTGTTAGATAGGCGGGTGACGGGCGTTGAAAAACTCGTGCCTAACTTAATGAATAAGACCAAATACATCGTACACTATCGCAACCTGCAGCTGTACCTGTCGTTGGGTATGAAACTGACCAAAATACACAGAGTGCTGAAGTTTGCCCAAAGTCCTTGGATGGAGCCTTATATCAGAATGAACACGGACCTGCGAAAGCTGGCCACCAGTGACTTTGAGAAAAATTTGTATAAGCTCATGAATAACTCGGTATTCGGTAAGACGATGGAGAACCTGAGGAAACGTGTGGACGTGAAGCTGGTTCGGTCGAATGAGGAGGAAAAACTCAGGAAGCTGATCGCTAACCCTGCATTCAACCGTAGTAAGATATTCGATAACGACCTGGCTGCCATACACATGAAGAAAAGTCACATAATATTAAACCGGCCTGTTTATGTTGGGATGAGCATCCTCGATTTATCCAAACACCTGATGTATGACTTTTACTACAACGAACTTAAGAAACAGTACGGCGACAGGTGTGAAGTTCTGTACACTGACACGGATTCCCTGCTGATGGAGATTCGAACCGAGGACGTGTACGATGACATGAAAAAACACCTTGATTTGTACGACACCAGCGATTACCCCAAGGACCATGCCATACACAGCACGGTGAATAAAAAGGTCCTAGGTAAGATGAAGGACGAGTGTGCTGGCACGCCCATAGCCGAGTACATAGGTTTGAGACCTAAGATGTACTCCATCCTGAAGGCCGACAATGGTGAGATCCGGAAGGCCAAGGGGGTCAAAAAATACGTGGTGAAACAACACATCAAACACACCAGATTCAAGGAAGCCCTGTTCAAGACCCGTACCTTTAGACATAAAATGAACACACTTAGAAGTGATGGCCATAGGATATACGGGCTGACTATAAATAAAACATCATTATCACCTATGGACACTAAACGTTGGATAGCCATTGATGGGATAAACACGTACGCGTACGGGCATGAGAAAATTGAACCAAGAACATAGATATAAATAAATGGTGACATGTCACGGAACCAGAAAAAATTTGAGGCTATTTACTATAGTCCGCGTGGGTATTGGAAAGGAGCTAGCGCTGTAGATAAGCTGGCTAAAATGGCGCGAGTATCCCCGGAAGAGACCAAAGCGTGGCTTGAAAAACAAGCACTTTGGCAGATATATTTACCACCACCACGCTATGTGCCTAGAAGGAAGTTTGGTATTAATGTACCTAATAACGTTCACCAAGCAGACCTACTGTTCCTACCCCACGATAAGAGGTACAAGTATGCCTTAACCGTAGTGGACGTAGCCAGTCGCTACAAGGAAGCCGAACCCTTGACCACGAAAGATTCTGCCCAGGTAGCCAGAAGATTCGAACGCATATACAAACGCAGTCCGCTGACGTGGCCAACAGAGCTGCAAGTTGACCCCGGCGGAGTTCATGGGTGCCGTGGTCACAACTGCTAGCCAAACACGATACAAAGGTCAGGCATGGCACGGCTGGAGCCCATCGCAGCCAAGCCATAGTTGAGAGATTTAATAGGACTTTGTCTGAACGTTTATTCGGGTATCAATATGCGAGAGAAATGAGCAACCCGGAAAAACGATCGACTGAATGGGTCAAAAGGTTACCTAAGGTGGTGTCGGCAATCAACCATGAAGTTACTCGGCTCACTGGTAAGAAACTGGCAGACGCTATCAAATTAAAATCAGTGATGGCTGAACCGGCTGCTCCATTGCATGGGAAGGAGAAACAAATACCAGATAGATCCCTAGTTAGGTATCTTTACCAGCCAGGGGAACACGAAGGGGACACTCGGAAACGAGCTACTGATCCTATATGGTCAGTCAAAACTTACAATATAGATAAGGTAGACATCAAAGCAGACGAGCCTAACTTGTACTACTTGAGGGATGGGCCAGGGAGGGGGTTTGTAAGAGAAGAATTATTGATCGTACCGTACGGTACAGTATTACCTCCCGTCAACACGACATAGAGGTAAGATATCCGGTGGAGTTCGTATCCCACCGTCACAACATCGTGTGATGTGAGGTTCTCTCATGGTGAGAGACACAATTCCCCTTGGGAGGAAGCGCAATACATTTCTTTGGGAATTGTGGCTGCCGGGGACATTTTGCTTGAAATCCCCGACTAAAGTCTTATTTTATGAAATAAAGCTCTGTAGTAGATGGTAATGGTAAGGGTCCAACTAAGGCTTTATCTATTAAATGAAGCTTTAGATTACCCTGGTCCAAAACCCCTACTCTGTCTACTACTGAAGTGTATTAAATTTTTGAATTGTTGGATATTCATAAAATTGTAAAGGGATGTACAGACGCCGCAATGCTTGATTTTTATTATAAATAAGCAAGAAGTGATATTCATCTTCTATATATGGCAGTTTACAGGTATAACATAATCTGTCATTTCTAGCCTCTCCAATATACCAACCTGTTTCTATTCGTAGTTTATGAGACCGCGATCTAAACTGAGCAAGAGCACGTCTATGTTTAAAATAGCTAACTGTGAAGATATAAGGTTCAACACCGACCATAGGTTTAGAGAACGAGTATCCAAATGTTTTTGTGCCTTTTATTAGTGCAAAATGCCAGTCTTGTTGATACGAAACTTTGAGTCTACGTAGAAATTCATTTAGAAATAGCGTTTCACTTCAGACCATCTGTTGGTCTTGAATAAATGTCCAATGTAATATGAGATGGCCAAAACACGCGTGCGCCAGTTAATGTTAGTCCGTGTTGACATATTCTGTCTATACTGGAATATTCGGTAACACTAGGGGTCTGTCTATACTGGAATATTCGGTAACAATGGGGGTCTGTCTATACTGGAATTTTCGGTAACAATGGGTTTTTTTCTATACTGGAATATTCGGTAACACTGGAGATCTGTCTATACTTGAATATTCGGTAACACTAGGGGTCTGTCTATACTGGAACATTCGGTAACACCGGAGATCTGTCTATACTTGAATATTCAGAAACACTGGAGGTCTGTCTATACTGGAATATTCGGTAACATTAGGGGTCTGTCTATACTGGAATATTCGGTAACACTGGAGATCTGTCTATACTGGAATATTCGGTAACACTGGAGATCTGTCTATACTGGAATATTCGGTAACACTAGGGGTCTGTCTATACTGGAATATTCAGAAACACTGGAGGTCTGTCTACACTGGAATATTCAGAAACACTGGAGGTCTGTCTACACTGGAATATTCGGTAACACTGGAGATCTGTCTATACTTGAATATTCGGTAACACTGGAGATCTGTCTATACTGGAATATTCGGTAACACTAGGGGTTTGTCTATACTGGAATATTGGGTAACACTGGAGATCTGTCTATACTTGAATATTCGGTAACACAAGGGGTCTGTTTATACTGGAATATTCAGAAACACGCGAGGTCTGTCCATACTGGAATATTCGATTACAATAGGGCTTTGTCTATACTGGAATATTCGGTAATACTGGAGATCTGTCTATACTGGAATATTCGGTAACAATGGGGGTCTGTCTAAACTGGAATATTCGGTAACACTGGAGATCTGTCTATCCTGGAATATTCGGTAACACTGGAGATCTGTCTATACTGGAATATTCGGTAACACAAGGGGTCTGTCTATACTGGAATTTCAGTAACACTGGAGATCTGTCTATACTTGAATATTCGGTAACACTAGGGGTCTGTCTGTACTGGAATATTGGGTAACACTGGAGATCTGTCTATACTTGAATATTCGGCAACAATGGGGTCTGTCTATACTGGAATATTCGGTAACACTGGAGATCTGTCTATACTGGAATATTCCGTAACACTGGAGGTCTGTCTATACTGGAATATTTGGTAACACTACGGGTCTATCTGTAATGGAATATTCAGAAACACTGGAGGTCTGTCTATACTGGATTATTTGGTAACAATAGGGTTCTGTCTATACTGGAATATTCGGTTACAATGGGGGTCTGCCTATACTGAAATGTTCGTTGAAAATGGGTGTTTTTCTATACTGGAATATTCGGTAACACATGAGGTCTGTCTATACTTCAATATTCGGTAACAATGGGGGTCTGTCTATACTGGAATATTCGGTAACACTGGAGATCTCTCTATACTGGAATATTCGGTAACACTAGAGATCCGTCTTTACTTGAATATTCGGTAACACAAGGGGTCTGTCTATACTGGAATATTCAGTAACACTGGAGATCTGTCTATACTTGAATATTCGGTAACACTAGGGGTCTGTCTATACTGGAATATTGGGTAACACTGGAGATCTACCTACTCTGGATTATTTGGTAACACTAGGGGTCTGTCTGTACTGGAATATTCAGTTACACTGGAGGTCTGTCTATACTGTGATGTTCAGTAACACTGGAGGCCTGTCTATACTGGAAATTTCAGTAACACTGTAGGTTTTTCTATACTGGAATATTCAGTAACACTGTGTGTGTTTATATACTGGAATATTCAGTAACACTGTGTGTGTATATATACAGGAATATTCAGTAACCCAGGGGGTCAGTAACACAGGAGGTGTTTCTGTACTGGAATATTCAGTAACACTAGGGATCTGTCTATACTGGAATACTTGGTAACACTGGGGGTCTGTCTATACTGGAATATTCAGTAACACTGGGGGTCTGTCTATACTGGAATATTCAGTAACACTGGATGTGCTTCTATACTACAATTGTCAGTAATACGCCCAGTTTAAGTATAGAAACTAGCTCTCTTGCGTTTTTGTGATGTCATGCTTTTAACAGAATGTAGTTTAGGACACAACTAACGACCGCCGTGTGCCATTTAGTTTCCTGTTTTGTTTCAGTTTCCACAGTACAGAGTGGCACAAGATGTGACTCTGGCCAGTATGGACCAAACTGTGACCTCCACTGCTCTGAACACTGTGGTCTATTGCCAGAGACGAACCACCGACCGTGTGACAAAGATACTGGGAAGTGTTTAGAAGGATGTGTCCGTGGTCGGCATGGTGGCCACTGTGATCAACCCTGTAGCCAGAACTGCATCAACACCTCGTGCAATCAACCCAACGGGGGATGTACCCTCGGGTGTACAGACGGATACACTGGGTACTTCTGTAACATGGCAACAGGTACACAGATACAGGTGTAGAAACACATGTTTAAGTATTCGTATGGCACTTATATCATCCTGCAAGTTTTATATATAAGATAAAATTAACTATAGGACAGTCAGTATAGATACACGTGGGAAAGAAATAAAAGGCTACTTATCTACTTAATTGGTTCTTAGAAAAACATTTTATTCATTTTTTGGTATTACGAAAGTGCATAACAAGCTGTCATAACCGACTCGTACTGTATCGCAGGTCTGACAAACCTCTGTTATAACTATTGTAGCATTACAGGGACACAGACAGGTGTGGAGCCAGATTCTGGTTACGTGGGTGTGAGACTGGAGCCAGAACACGTCTGGTACAGTGATTGAGAAGAGGACATTCTGTAGCAGCTCCTAGTTTCAGTATTTGGCAGAAATATGTAATTGTACATCACGTAATGAGATCAGTCCAACAACACCTGTTTCTATAAAGCGCTGACATATCATTCAGTCACGGTTCAACACAGATAGGATTTATCACTGTGAATGATTCATAACACATCTTTAACTGATGATGGTCAAATGGGAAGATCATGTAATTACTCACGATCAACAACAAATCTTGTTATATCTTACTGTATGTAAGACTCTAGAGGGTGTCACTATTAGTTAGGAGGTTGATAATTGTAGTTTTAGATGTAGAGTTGACTTGACGTCAGGAAAGTAGCTCAGTATCTGAATGTTAGAATTCAGTCTCACAGGTCTGGCCAGGATACCTTGTTTTATTATTACCATGGATACTTGAAAATGCTTACTAAATACAACCTGGATATGACAATGTTTGGTGCAATTCCAGAAATAGTGTTACGAAAGGGCTGAATATGAATATGAAACAACCGCATTCATTCAACGGATGGGTTTTTTCAACGATTGTAAAGATATTGATGAATCTGTGGAACGCTTGCAGTAGAACTATCATAACAAAATGATAATTAAAAATAATTCGACCAGATGGTAAACCATTATTTAATTCAGAATTAAGGAAAGTAATAAGGAATAGGAATAGGTTAGACAAAATTGCAAGAAAACAAAGTAAGGCAAAGTCAAAATAGTGGTCAGAGAAAAGTAAATAATATAAATGTATACAATGCAAAGGGAATGTCATATTCCAAGTTTATACACTTCAGATATCGTTGTCCGTGTGTAAGTCAGGTGTAGGTTAACAGATAACCAAAACCGTGCAACAAAAGTAGTCAAACAGGGTTTTTTCATAGTTAGGGGAACATCAGACAGACTAATTAGTCCTTTAGTGTTTGTTTCAGGTGAAGGGCACATCAGACAGACAAATTAGTCCTTCAGTGTTTGTTCAAGGTAAAGGGCACATCAGACAGACTAATTAGTCCTATAGTGCTTGTTCTAGGTGAAGGACACATCAGACAGACTAATTAGTCATGTAGTGTTTGTTTCAGTTCAAGGACACATCAGACAGACTAATTAGACCTTTAGTGTTTGTTCTAGGTGAAGGGCACATCCGACAGACTAATTAGTCATGTAGTGTTTGTTCCAAGTGAAGGGCACATGAGACAGACAAATTAGTCCCTTAGTGTTTGATTCAGGTGAAGGGCACATCAGACAGACTAATTAGTCCAATAGTGTTTGATTCAAGTGAAAGGCACATCAGACAGACTAATTAGTCCTTTAGTGTTTGTTTCAGTTGAAGGGCACATCAGACAGACTAATTAGTCCTATAGTGTTTGTTCCAGGTGAAGGGCACATCAGGCAGACTAATTAGTCCTTTAGTGTTTGTTTCAGATTAAGGGCACATCAGACAGACTAATTAGTCCTGTATTGTTTGTTCCAGGTGAAGGGCACATCAGACAGACTAATTAGTCTTGTAGTGTTTGTTCCAGTTGAAGGACACATCAGACAGACTAATTAGTCATCTAGTGTTTGTTCCAGGTGAAGGACACATCAGACAGACTAATTAGTCCTATAGTGCTTGTTCTAGGTGAAGGACACATCAGACAGACTAATTAGTCATGTAGTGTTTGTTTCAGTTCAAGGACACATCAGACAGACTAATTAGACCTTTAGTGTTTGTTCTAGGTGAAGGGCACATCCGACAGACTAATTAGTCATGTAGTGTTTGTTCCAAGTGAAGGGCACATGAGACAGACAAATTAGTCCCTTAGTGTTTGATTCAGGTGAAGGGCACATCAGACAGACTAATTCGTCCTATAGTGTTTGTTTCAGGTGAAGGCACATCATACAGACTAATTAGTTCTTTAGTGTTTGTTCCAAGTGAAGGGCACAGCAGACAGACAAATTAGTCCTTTAGTGTTTGATTCAGGTGAAGGGCACATCAGAAAGACTAATTCGTCCTATAGTGTTTGTTCCAGGTGAAGGGCACATCAGACAGACTAATTAGTCCTTCAGTGTTTGTTCCAAGTGAAGGGCACAGCAGACAGACTAATTAGTCCTTTAGTGTTTGTTCCAGGTGAAGGACACACCAGACAGACTAATTAGTCCAATAGTGTTTGTTTCAGGTGAAGGGCACATCAGACAGACTAATTAGTCCAATAGTGTTTGTTCCAGGTGAAGGGCACACCAGACAGACTAATTAGTCCAGTAGTCTTTGTTTCAGTTGAAGGGCACATCAGACAGATTAATTAGTCATGTAGTGTTTGTTTCAGTTGAAGGGCACATCAGACAGACTAATTAGTCCTGTAGTGTTTGTTTCAGTTGAAGGGCACATCAGACAGACTAATCAGTCCTGTAGTGTTTGTTTCAGGTGAAGGGCACATTCCACAGAGTGTAAACGTGATGTCGGTGTTACCTGCCATTATCTTCTTGCTATTCACGACTATTTGCTGCTGGAGGAGGTGAGTGACTGTTTGGCAGGTACCAACCTGACACAACATCTTCTATCTCAGCCAATTTTCACTTTACTTCTCAGTATGGTCAGTATAACTTGGCCATTTATTCAGATATAGTGCCCTGGCATAACACTGTAATGGCAGTGCTATTGAGCTGTTGATTGACGACACAAGACACAAATGTGAATTTGATGGGGCAACAAGCGGGAGGGTGTTTACGAAACAGATGCCCTATTTTCTAAAAGACAAATTTCTTTGCAGTGGACGATGTAGAAGAACTTGCAACAGATGGTGTGACTGGCTGACCGAAAGGTAATCCACACGAATACTTGTTATTTATACACTATTACTGAACAGATGAGTGAGTGGGTTTGATTTAACGCCGGTTTTAGCGGTAGCTCGGTCATATGACGGCGTGTCTGCTTAATGTGGGAGCAAACCCCGAAGTGTTGCAGGTCATAAAAGGCTACCAGGTTTGTGGGCTCTACAAACATCGTCATGGTAATGACAAACCTAGAAATATAATCTAGACGATCTGGATTTGATCATACCGTCATATGTTTTACTACAGTCAAGGGCGATAACCGTGTCATGCTTACAACCCGTGTCCCTATATACGTTACCTTACTTTAATAGTTCAGTTTACTTATCTCATCTGTTATTCCTTTACAGGATCCTTTGGCCAAGTAAGTGATATTTTTCTTCATCATAGATGAAAAAATACCTGATTCACGCCACGTCACAGTATGTGTTCTTTTTTCCGGAATGTTAATCAATCTCGTCATTGTTTGTATACGTTCAGATATCATATTGTTTTTGTCACTGTTGTACAATTTACATCTTTCCGTTGTCGAAATTAAATATACTGTGTACCTATCAGGTATGTGCAAACTGTATGCATCAACGTAGGACTTACATTGTGAACAGTGTCGCCAAGGTCATGAATACAAATATCTAACTATGATTTCAACATTTCTGCTATCAATGTATTTTATCGAAGCCATAAATGGGGTAAACGTATCCTCGCTGCGAAATATGCATAATTCCTTTTGCTCCTCCCTTGCAAAATTCTAGTAAACTGAATTCAGTGAGTCTGAAATTAGTCCTGGTGTACAAGCACGTACAGGAGACCCATGTCAGGTGTTCCGTGTATGGAGCTGTTGTCACAGAAGTCCTGATGTACAAGCACGTACAGGAGAGCAATGTCAGGTGTTCCGTGTATGGAGCTGTTGTCACAGAAGTCCTGCAACACACACGCATCTTCGTGTCTCCACCCTTATGGAAACAAAACGGGCTTAGATGTGACACACACGCATCTTCGTGTTTCGACCCTTATGGAAACAAAACAGGCTCAGATGCAACACACCCGCATCTTCGTGTCTCCACAATTATGGAAACAAAACAGGCTCAGAGACAACACACACGCACCTTCGTGTCTCCACCCTTATGTAAACAAAACAGGCTCAGATGCAACACACACGCATCTTCGTGTCTCCACCCTTATGTAAACAAAACAGGCTCAGAGACAACACACACGCATCTTCGTGTCTCCAGCCTTATGTAAACAAAACAGGCTCAGATGCAACACACCCGCATCTTCGTGTCTCCACAATTATGGAAACAAAACAGGCTCAGAGACAACACACACGCATCTTCGTGTCTCCACCCTTATGTAAACAAAACAGGCTCAGATGCAACACACACGCATCTTCGTGTCTCCACCCTTATGGAAACAAAACAGGCTCAGAGACAACACACACGCACCTTCGTGTCTCCACCCTTATGTAAACAAAACAGGCTTAGATGTGACACACACACATTTTCGTGTCTCCACCCTTATGGAAACAAAACAGGCTCAGATGCAACACATACGCTTCTTCGTGTCTCCGCCCTAATGGAAACAAAACAGGCTCAGAGGCAACACACACGCATCTTCGTTTCTCCACCTTTATGGAAATAAAACAGGCTCAGATGCAGCAAACACGCTTCTTCGCGTCTCCACCTTTACGGAAACAAATCAGACCTTGATTTGACACACAGCAATGTACCTTTTTTGAAACAGTATTAGATGTGACACATAGCGATGTACCCTTATTGAAAAAGTATTAGATGTTACACACAGCGATGCACCCTTATTGAAACCCTATTAGATGTGACACACAGCGATGCACCCTAATTGAAACAGGATTATATGTGACACACGGCGATGTACCCTTATTGAAACAGTATCAGATGTGACACACGGTGATGTACCCTTATTGAAACAGTATATTAGATGTAACACAGCAATGCAACCTTATTGAAAAAGGATCAGATGTGACACACAGCGATGTACCCTTATTGAAAAAGTATTAGATGTGACACACAGCGATGCACCCTTATTGAAACAGTATCAGATGTGACACACAGCAATGCACCCTTATTGAAAAAGGATTGGATGTAACACACAGCGATGTACCCTTATTGAAACATCCTAAGATGTGACACACAGCGATGTACCCTTATTGAAACAAAACAGGCTTAATTGCAACACACTGCGATGTACCCTTTTTGAAACAAAACAGTATAAGATATGACACACGGCGATGTAGCCTTATTGAAACAGGCTAAGATGTAACACACACGTCGATGTACCCTTATTGAAACAGGCTTAGATGTGACACACAGCGATGTACCCTTATTGAAACAAAACAGGCTTAGATGTAACACACTGCGATGTACCCTTATTGAAACAAAACAGTATTAGATGTGACACACGGCGATGTAGCCTTATTGAAACAGGCTAAGATGTAACACACACGGCCATGTACCCTCATTGAAACAGGCTTAGATCTAATACACACGCCGATGTACCCTTATTGAAACAGACTAAGATGTAACACACACAGCGATGTACCCTTACTGAAACAGGCTTAGATGTAACACACACGGCGATGTACCCTTATTGAAACAGGTTTAGATGTAACACACACGGCGATGTACCCTTATTGAAACAGGATTAGATGTAACACACACGGCGATGTACCCTTGTTTCAACAGGTTAAGATGTGACACACGGCGATGTAGCCTTATTGAAACAGGCTAAGATGTAACAGACACGGCGATGTACCCTTATTGAAACAGGTTTAGATGTAACACACACGGCGATGTAACCTTATTGAAAAAAAACAGTCTTAGATGTGACACACGGTGATGCACCTTTATTGAAACGGTATTACATGTGACACCCAGAGATGCACCCTATTTGAAACAGGTTTAGATGTGGCACACCGTGATGTACCCTTGTTGAAACAGGCTTAGATGTAACACACGTTGATGTACCCCTATTGAAACACGCTTAGATGTAACACACGTTGATGTACCCTTATTGAAATAGTATTAGATGTGACACACTGCGATGTACTCTTATTGAAACAGGCTTAGATGTGGCACACAAGATGTACCCTTATTGAAACAAAACAGGCTTAGATGGGAAATACGGCGATGTACCTTATTGAAACAGTATTAGATGTGACACACAGCGATGCACCCTTATTAAAGCAGTATTAGATGTGACACACGGTGATGCACAATTATTGAAACAGGCTTATTGAAACACGGTGATGTACCCTTATTGATTAGATAACACACAGCGATGCACCCTTATTGAAACAGGCTTACATGTGAAACAGGCTTAGATGTGAGACACAGCGATGCAATCTTATTAAAACAGGCTTAGATGTGACACACACGGTGATGTACCCTCATTGAAACAGGCTGAGATGTAACACACACGCCGATGTACCCCTATTGAAACAGGCTTTGATGTTACGCACACTGCGCTGTACCCTTATTGAAACAGTATTAGATGTGACACACAGCGATGCACCCTAAGTGAAACAGGCTTAGATGTGGCAACGGTGATGTACCCTTATTGAAACAGTATTAGGTGTGACACAGGGCGATGTGACCTTATTGAAACAGGCTTAGAGTTTACACTCACGGTGATGTACCCTTATTGAAACAAGATTAAATTTAACATATACGGCGATGTACCCTTATTGAAACAAAACAGGCTTAGGTGTGACACACGGCGATGCACCCTCATCGAAACAGTATTAGATTGACACACAGCGATGCACCCTAATTGAAACAGCCTTAGATGTGACACACAGCGATGTACCCTTATTGGAACAGTATTAGATGTGACACACAGCGATGTACCCTTATTGAAACAGTATATTAGATGTAACACACAGCAATGCACCCTTATTGAAAAAGGATTAGAAGTGACACACAGCGGTGTACCCTTATTGAAAAAGGATTAGATGTGACCCACAGCGATGCACCCTTATTGAAACAGTATCAGATGTGACACACAGCAATGCACCCTTATTGAAAAAGGATTGGATGTGACACACAGCGATATACCCTTATTGAAACAGGCTAAGATGTGACACACAGCGATGTACCCTTATTGAAACAAAACAGGCTTAATTGCAACACACTGCGATGTACCCTTATTGAAGCAAAACAGTATAAGATATGACACACGGCGATGTAGCCTTATAGAAACAGGCTAAGATGTAACACACACGGCGATGTACCCTTATTGAAACAGGCTTAGATGTGACACACAGCGATGTACCCTTATTGAAACAAAACAGGCTTAGATCCAACACGCTGCGATGTACCTTTATTGAAACAAAACAGTATTAGATGTGACACACGGTGATGTAGCCTAATTGAAACAGGCTAAGATGTAAGACACACAGCGATGTACCCTTATTGAAACAGGCTAAGATGTAACACACACGGCGATGTACCCTTACTGAAACAGGCTTAGATGTAACACACACGGCGATGTACCCTTATTGAAACAGGTTTAGATGTAACACACACGGTGATGTACCCTTATTGAAACAGGTTTAGATGTAACACACACGGCGATGTACCCTTGTTTAAACAGGTTAAGATGTGACACACGGCGATGTAGCCTTATTGAAACAGGCTAAGATGTAACAGACACGGCGATGTACCCGTGTTGAAACAAAACAGTATAAGATGTGACACACGGCGATGTAGCCTTATTGAAACAGGCTAAGATGTAACACACACGTCGATGTAACCTTATTGAAACAGGCTTAGAAGTGACACACAGCGATGTACCCTTATTGAAACAAAACAGTATTAGATGGGACACACGGCGATGTAGCCTTATTGAAACAGGCTAAGATGTAAGACACGGCCATGTACCCTCATTGAAACAGGCTTAGATGTAATACACACGCCGATGTACACTTATTGAAACAGGCTTAGATGTAACAAAAAACGGCGATGTACCCTTACTGAAACAGGCTTAGATGTAACACACACGGCGATGTACCCTTATTGAAACAGGCTTTGATGTTACGCACACTGCGCTGTACCCTTATTGAAACAGTATTAGATGTGACACACAGCGATGCACCCTAAGTGAAACAGGCTTAGATGTGGCAACGGTGATGTACCCTTATTGAAACAGTATTAGATGTGACACACAGCGATGCACCCTAAGTGAAACAGGCTTAGATGTGGCAACGGTGATGTACCCTTATTGAAACAGTATTAGGTGTGACACAGGGCGATGTGACCTTATCGAAACAGGCTTAGAGTTTACACTCACGGTGATGTACCCTTATTGAAACAAGATTAAATTTAACATATA